CACTGTGCAGTTCAGGCTGGCTTTGAGCTCACTTTGTAGCCTAGGCTGGTCTCGAACTAGCAATGAAGGGCCCTGGTACCTTCCTCCCCCACTCGGAATGGCCCACAAATGCTTTTCTTTGGGCTCCTTCTGCAGGCACCATACCCTGGCTTCCTTCAGTGGGCACAAGGTAAAGGAGGAAGGGCTGTTCTTTGTCTCCTTCAGGCCAGCAGAGCTATTTGTGCCCTTCCTGGGGATTTGGAAAGGAGGGGCAATCCCCAGTGTCAGGCCCTGGAGGTCAGGGGCCTCCAGCTTCAGGAAGGATTTACGGGCAGACCCCAAAGTCTTTTTATCTTTTGTTCCAGAGCTCAAGTCTCAAAGGCCAGAATTTTGACTGGGTTTGGTGGTACACCTCTATAATTCAACACTCAGAAGGCTGAGGCAAAAGGATTGTTATGAGTTTGAGGCCAACCTGGTTTATAAAGTAAGCTCAAGGCCAGCCTGAACTGCATAGTGAAACTCTTGTCTCAGAAAGTCAAAAAGACAAACAAGCAAACAGAGCTTTTGTTCTCTGTGAAATAAGAGCAGATTCTGGCTGGGTATGGTGGTGCACGCTTACAGTTCCACCACTCAGGAGGCTGAGGCAGGATTATCCCAAGGTCAAAGCCACCCTTGGCTACACAATGAATTCCAGTTTGGCCTGAATTACATAACAAGACCCTATCTAAAAAAATACATAAGTAAGTGCAGATTTTGATCATCTGAGCCGTCTGTATGCACCCTAATGGGCCTCATGATAACAAAATCCAGAAAGTGCTGGGTGTGGTTGTGCAGACCTAGAATCTTAGCACTCAGGAAGCTGAGTCAGGAGGATTACCAGTTCAAGTCCAGCCTGAGCTACATAGCAAATACAAATTCAGCCTGAACCACATAGTGAGATCCAGAAGAACCACCACCCCCATAAAAAGAAAAAGAAAAAAAAAAAAAAAGAATGCTACTCAAATATAGTGCATTAATACTATTTTCCAAATATATTAACCACCTTTCTGTCTCTGGGACAAAATACTTTACATGCACAATTCAAAGGAAGAAAAGCTTATTTTGGCTCCATTGTGAGTTGCAACATTCAGTCCCTGGTCATCTGGCTCCAGGCAGAAGCATCATGGTGGTATCCGGGAAGCAGAGGACAGGGCACGAGCCCGACAGAAAGGGGCTGGGAACAAGAACACGCCCTTCCGGTCTGACCTCCTAGTGACGGACTTCCTCCAACCAGTCCCACCGCCTAGCAGCACATTTGACTGTGAACTCCCCAGTGGATTAACCCATTGCTGAGGTTAGTGGTCCGTGATCTAATCACCTTCCAAAAGCCCTACATTAAGTTTTGGGGTCATATTTTTGATCCACACGATAACGTAGGAGGAGGGCAACTCAACAGTGAGTGTCAGGCAGTGGTGCACACCTGCAATCCCAGCACTCGGGAGGCTGAGGCAGGAGAATACCTTAAGACAGAGGCCAGCCTGGGCTACTAATGAATTCAAAGCCAGTCTGAGCTATAAGCAAGACACTGTCTCAGGTCACGCGTGGTAGCACACACCTGCAATCCCAGCACTCGGGAGGCTGAGGTGGGAGGATCATTGCAAGTTCAAAAACAGCGTGGGCTACAAAGTGAGCTCACCACCATCCTGAACTGCATAGGGAGGCCAAAAGAGAAAAAAAAAGACACTGTCTCAAAAACAGAACAAAACAACAAACCAGTGAGTGTAGAGATGGGAAAGTGCTTGAGAGAGCGGGGAAGGTAGCCCGCTTGGTGTCAGACATTCTACCCTCCTACCCATTAATTCTCTCTGAGGCCCTTTAGAAGACACATTCAAATTGGTGAGTCAAGGAAAGGGAAAGTGCCCAGTGACTGAGCCACCGCCCAGGACTCAGCGGCCTCCCCGTCCACCCCCTGCTTCCCAGCGCTCCACCGCCCAACACCCATCCTCTTCCATGGCCACCTCCTGCAAGCAGCTCCCACCAAGCAAAGGGACTCTGTCATATGTCCGTATGTCCGCTGTCCAGAACCTCCTCTGTTAACCCCTTTGCTGGTGTAACTAAGAGTAACAACCTGCTTCCCACCAGCATGGAGAAGTATATCCGTTTCAGAGTCCAACAGAGGAAAGACAGGAAGAGCCTCACCACCATCCAAGCAATCGCTGATGATTACAATAAAAAGAGACTGGTGAAGGCGTTTACAAAGAAATTTGCCTGCAGTGATACCATCATCAAGCATCCAGAATAGAGAGACGTGCCCAGCTGCAGATTGAGCAACACAAGAGTGTACGTACTGGTAGAGCCTGGGCTGGCTAAGGATGCTCTGCTGAAAGTTTGTGGCTCATTGAGGCTTAAGTGAGGATTTCCTTGCAATGAGTAAAATGTCCTTTATGTCTCTTGTCAAAGTTTAAAAACCTTACAGCCTGTATATTGTGACCATTTGGGGTTTGCTTTCACTTGGGCTAGTGTCACTGCTTCATGGAATAAACTAAAAACAGCAGAAAGAAACAAAGATAGAGGAATGAGAAAGAAAGAAAAAAAGCTGGGTTTGGTGGCACATGCCTGTAATTCCAGCACTTGGGAGGCTGAGGCAGAAGGATCACTGTGAGTTTGAGGCCAGGCTGGGCTACATAGTGAGACCCTGTCTCTGAAAATCAGAAAGAAAAAAGAGAGAGAGAGAGAAAAGTAACAGAAGGGACCGAAACCAGGCTTTTAGACTCAGGGTCCCAGCGGAGTAGCTGCAGGCACAATGGCACACGTGGCTGGAGGAAGCAGGAGGAAGCAGTGGCTTAAGTCCTGGGCTTGGGGCAGACTCCAGATCCCCTGAGCTAACATCTAAGTAGGCTACAATGAGAGGCAGAGAATGCTTGCAGTCTCCCTTGACAGGGAAGGGCTCGGCAGGGGCTGCAGAGCAGCAGCGGGCCTCTTATATCTAGGGGGGTGGGTGGGTGTCCGCTCAGCAGCCCAGGGACCAGGGCTCAAGTGAGCCTACAAACTTAGTGGGGTCGCTGAAAGTCAGGGTAAGGGCAGCTTGGCCAAGGGAAGACCAGGAGCTGGGACACATCACCTGCTCCACCCCGCCCAGATGGGAGCTCTCGGGGGGCTCCTAGTCTCCAGGCCAGAAGGAAGGTGACAGTGACTACTAAGGGCAGGCTGAGGGCTGGCTCATCCCATGGTGCCACCTGGGACCCAGAATTGTAACAGCTGTGCCCAAAGAAAAGAGTCTGATGGGCATTTTGTGTGGCTGACACTCACAAAGGAAGTCACTTTCAGACAAATGCAGAGAGACACGGGATTATTCTTTGTAAAAACCAAAGAGAGCAAAGACTTGAAGGAAGAAGAGTGCTTTGCATGGGAAAGACAAGCGTCAAATTCCCTCAGGTGGCCATCCCTGGAGTGACAGGAGGCAGGAGAGCAGGGAGTGGGGAGCTTACAGTTTATTTGCAGTATTTTATTTTTGTATTAGTACAATGTTGTTTTCAACATAAACTGACAGTTTTGAGAGGAGGACCCAGAGCCAAAACACAGGTAGGAGCGAGGAGGGCCTGGGCCTGTATAACGGTCTGCAGCCTGCTCTGGGTGGCATTCTGCCCCGGCAGTGCCGCGTGTGGCAGCCAGCCCTCCACAGCCTGACACAAAGAGAAGGGGGCGCCACAGTCTCAGATGCCGCCAAGTCACACAGACCGCAGCCTCTGCCCCCGGAAGGGGATAATTAGGAAGCCATTCCTAACAGTAACTTCTGTGTATCCAGAAGGGTGGCCAACAGAGATGATATTCCTATCACAGAAGCAGGAAGGAGAAGACATTTAAGCGTTTGGGAAGCTTCTTCGAAGCCACGGAATTTTCTTGGACCATCACAGACCTTTAATGTCTGTAGACTGGTGTTAACAAATAGCTATGATGAAACCAAAAGCCCAGACTGAACATGACAAGGCTCTGCTTGAGTATTTAGCAGATATCACTGGTTGTGGACCACTGAATGACCTGCCAAAGTCCTGTGCTGCAGAGCTGAGATACTAAATGGACACAGAAGAGAGAGGTCAAGCAGAGTTTAAATGGTGGGAAAGGGTGCCTTACAAGGAAAGAAAAGCACAGCCATTGAGTTTCTTACCTTGGAAAATAAAATATTTAGAAAAAGAACATCATGTATGTCCATTACATTTATGATCTATAGATTGAATTGCTGAAATGGAGATACAAAAGGAAAAGATTTGGGAAGATATCAAAGAAATTAATAAGGGGAACAAGATGCCATCAAATGAAATGAAAAGTATAGTGAATGCATTCATTGCAAGGAGTCGGTGCTAAACACATTGTAACTTAAACCTTTTTACTTCTTCCCCCTTTTCCTTACATTTTAATTCTTTGTGATAAATGTTTGAGATGGTAGCTATACCAACTACCCTGATCTAATCTCTATACATTATATACATGCATTACAATGTTACACTGTGTCCCATAAATATACAATTATTATATGCCAATTAAAAATAAAAAGCGAAGCGCTAGGTGTGGTGGCTCATGCCTGTAATCCCAGCACTCGGGAGGCTGAGGCAGGAGGATTATTGCGAGTTAGAGACTGGCCTACGGTACAAAGTGAGCTCAAGGCCAGTCTGAACTGCACAGCGAGACCCTGTCTCAAAAAGACAAGAAATAAATAAATAAATAACGAGCCAGACAGTCAGGAGACTGAGGCTGTAGTATTGTGAGTTGAAGGCCAGCCTGGAATCTATAGCAAGGCCCTGTATCAAAATACAAGAAAGAAAATAAAGAAGAAAAAAAGAAAAGAGAAAAGTTTAGTTCTTAACATTTTAGAAATATATAGGGCAAACTACTAAGAGACAGAGCTGGTGGTTGGGTTGTAAAAATTTAGACTCCATATCTAAACACTGCATAGAGAATATGTGATAATCTGTACTGTCCAGTGCAGCTGAGACATTGCATGTGAAGAAGAAAGATCAAAGGCTTGTAGCTTCAGGAAATTGGTGGGAGTGGGAGGGTCAGCTGGTCCTGCCAGGGGCTGCTGGGGGAGCTGGTGGAGGAGGAAGCATGGGCATACAGCCGGCTCCTGCTGCTGGCAGGCAGAGCCGGAGGAAGTGCCAAGGAGGAAGATCAAGGTGTTATCAGAGCTCAGGGCTGGCCCTGGGGAGCCCAGATGTTCCCGGAAGTGCAGGCACGGGAAAGCGGTGAGCCTGTGTGCAGAGGGTGTGTGCCCTGGAGCCCCGCAGACGTGGCAGCTCCTGGTAGGGGCTGAGCTGGGGCAGCCAGTTCTTCTTTGCCCGCTGTCACCCTACAATCTCCGGGGAGCCCTGTACCAGTCCCAGATGATGCACCAGGTAGACTCTTGGCTCCCTCCTTCCTGCCAGGCTGGCCTGCCTGCCTGTAGGGGCCCCTTCCTTTCCCTGACCTGAGTTTCCTTTCTGTTTCTCCCTGTACATCCGGAGCTGCTTCACAGCCTGGCCCCTGCCTTGGGTGCCTGAACCTGCAAGGGAAGGGGAGGGGACTGGGCTTTCCCTGTGCAGGGACAGATGTGGGACATGGGATGGCATGGCAGTGTGGCTGGGGGATAAAGGGAAGGAGTTTGCCCTGAGCAGCCCTTCCTGGCCCCTGGGTGCCTAGGCCATGGGAGAGACAGGCCGGGACTCAGAACTGGGGGGAGCCCCCACCCCTGCGGGACCTTGGGCTGGGGAGGGGGAAGGCAAGGAAGAATGGTTCTTATCCTGCGGTGCCTCGCCAAGTCTGGGGTTACTTTTCAGCTTTTCTTACTTCATTAGTACCCCCCAACTCCCACTCAGCATCTAGCAGGGTAGAGACAACAGTAGGAACCACGTTCCTGAACTTTGGGTGAAGAACTCAAGGATCCCATCAGAGGTAAACGGCGTGGGATCTCCTTAGTATGACCCAGGCAGAACCAAGAAACCACTCTGGGTCTCTTTCTCCCCAGGCCCCCAAGATTTGATCCCAGGCCTGGGAGCTGGAGGATGCGGCTTTGAGATGAGGCACCTCCCGCACCTCACCCCAAGCTTCTGGGCTCCTGTTACCCCTTCATGTTCTCTTCACTGGTACCATCTTCCTGCCTTCCAGTGAGTCAGGAGTGGGGAGCCTAAGAAATGGGGCTAGAGCCTTAGACTGGGGACATGGATCCCTTTTCAGGATTTTAGGCCAGCTATTCACTGCCCAAGACACGGGGCAGCAGCCCCCGCCCCACCCCAGAACACAGGCTCTTTTTAAGGATCTTGCTGGAGACCTGGAAAAGGGGGCGGTGGAAGGGTCCTTGGGAGGCAAAACCTATATACCGGGCTGAAATGAAGTCTCTCTGCCCCTTTCTGAACAAATTTAACATAATACCTTCTCCCCCACCCCTCGGAGACAGGGGTCCGGCTATGTGTAGGGTGTCCTTGAATTTACTATGTAGCACAGGCTAGGAATTTGCAGTGATCTTCCTGCCTCAGCCTCACAATGCTGAGAGTGCGTGAGTTTGCCCACTATACCCAATTTCTGTTTCTATTTTGTCTTCCATTATCTGAATCTTTTTCTCGCCCTTTTCCTCTTTGATTTTTGTTTTGTTTGGTTTGGGGGACATTTTGAGATAGGTGCTTGCTATGAGATTCAGGGTTGTCAGACATGGTAATGCATATAATGAGACCCTGTCTCAAAACAACAACAAAAACAAAATTAAAAAAAAGATTCAGGCTGGGCGTGATGTCACACACCTGTAATCCCAATACTCAGGAGGCTGAGGCAGGAGGATCGTTGTAAGTTCAAGACCAGCCTGAGCTACACAGTGAGCTCAAGGCCAGTCTGAACTGTGTGGTGAGACCCTGTCTCCAAAAGAAAAAACAAAAAAATTCAGGCTGGCCTTAAACTCCCTGCAGTACAACATAGTCCAGGCTGGCCTTGAACTTGCCTTGAATTTGTGATCCTGCTGCTACACCTGTCTCTGATCCCCAGCTAGGATCACAGATGAAAGCCACCAGCTGGGATCTTTTTCTAAACTCTGTATTTTTCCCTCGCTCTGTATCCCTCTTTATTTTATTTTTGTTATTGTTGTTGTTGTGTGTGTTTACCTCTCTGGGTTGTTTTTTTTTTTTTTTTTCTATTTTCTCTCTTCCTCCACCTCTCCTTGGAGCTGTGACTCTCGGCTTCCTGAGGGTTCTATCTGTTTTGGTCTTTCTCACGAGTACATGGCCATATCAACCCCTCTCTCTGTCTCTCTCTGTCTCTCTCTCTGCCACCCACCTCCCAGGCTGGCCACTACCCTCCACCTCCTCTGGCTACAAACAGCTCAGCTGGGCAGGAGCCCCAGAGGCAGCTCCTGGAGATGCTGGGTGGGGCCGGGGAACCCCCTCGAGAGGATGGGCTGCCGCTGCTCACCATCATCATTGCCATCTTTGTCCTGCTGGCAGTGTGTATCGTGGTGGTGGTACACTTTGGACCAAGACTCCACCAAGGCCATGCCACTTTCCCTACAGAGCCACGAGCCCCAAAGCCAGAGGATGGCGTCTGCCTCACTCACTGGAGGCTGCTGGATGCCCAGGACAGTCCCAAAGAGGCCCAGCAAGGAGTTCCTGTCCTTGGCTCCAGCCCTGCTCCCAATGGGCCCAGGCCCAGCATGGATGAAGTCACATATCTGTAGGAAAGAGCTCTGGAGAGTTAGCCTGACCTGGCTCAGGCTAACTGGACCATGGAGTAGAGCAAAAGCAGACGAGCTGGGCGTCAGAGCTGCGGACGAACACGGTGAACTCACCTAGCGTGCCCAGTTGCCGACCGACGGGAGACAGAAAAGAAGCTCGAGGGCCCTGCCCGTGGACCTGCTGCTGTGGGCATTCCCAGGGCCCAGCGCCACCTTTACAAAGTTCCTCCCTCCTCTCAGGACCTCCAGACCCCAACCTCCTTCCTCGAGTCCCTGGCCCCAAGCAGGACTGTCAGAGAGAGGCCTGGAAGAAGCCCTGTGAATGACAGCCAGGAAGAACTGAGCCAGAGAACCAGTGGTCTTCTCTGAGAGTCTGAGGACCCGGGAAAGAAGGAAGATCTGTCACCTTTCACACCGTGGGGGCAGCCCTTTGGCTGTCAGGGCCTGGGCCCAATCCCCAAAGCCCTTGAGAAACTCAAGCACTGCTTGTATTTCCAAGGTGCTCTTTGAAGTCCCCTCTGACTTTCTTGCATCCCCAGGATGTGATGGGCGGGGTCTGAAGGCTCGTATTACCTCCCACTTGTCTGTGTGCAGGGGCTGTTGGGACAAGCCTAGAATCTACCATGCAACATTCACCAGATCTAGAACTTTCCAGCTGGTGGGAAAACCGGAAAGGAAAAGGAGTTCTATGGAAGCTGCTTGGCAAAGGAAGGATGAGAGGGACAGGAAAAGTCAGGAGGGAAGGAAAAGGTCGGGAAGTGCAGGCAGGGACTGGGAAGACAAAGTCAGGCCACCTGGTGGCTCTTTGCAAAGACCTTTCTCTGATACCTTAGAGCCCCATTCAAGTAGTCGAGAACATGCAGACGGGGCTGGGGGTGTAGCGCAGTGGTAGTGTCTCCCAGCGTGCACAGGGTCCCGGATTCAATCCCCAAAGCAGTGAAAAAGGCCTGGCATGAGGGTACATGCCCCAGCTCCAGGATTCTGGAAGGCTGAAGCAGGAAGATCGAAAGTTCGAGCCCAGCCTAAGTGACTTAGGGAGGCTATCTCAAAAATAAAAAATAGAAAGGAATTGGGGATATAATTCAGTGAGAAAGCCCCGGGTTTCCAGTGCTGGGTGGCGGTGTAGGGAAAAGACACTTACGGAGGGACCTCCTGTACTTTACTCTGGAGTCCTTTGGAGGGCAACTAGTCAACCCTTGGAGGCCTCAGTGAGAGCCCAGCAGCCAGGGAGGCTGGGAGGTAGATACTGCAGATGGAGGGAACAGACGTGGTGGTTACAATGTGTGCAGAAGATACTGCAGATGGAGGGAACAGACGTGGTGGTTACAATGTGTGCAGAAGATGGGTTTCCTTCAGGAGTCTGGTAAGAGGCACTTAATTAAAATGTTAACAGCTGCTGCCTTCTTTCTTTCCTTCTCTTTCTTTTCTTGTCCTCTTCTTTGTTTCTGTTCTTGTACTTGGAGTTAAACCAGACAGTACTGAACTACTTCCTCAGCCCTTGTCATATAAAGGACTTCCCTAAATTTCCCAAGCTGGTCTTGGATTTGTGATCATCCTGCCTCAGCCTTCTGAGTATCGGGGACTACAGCTGTGTACCAGTAGGCCTGGGAACAACTGCTGCTTCTTTTGGGTCTATGCTATGTCTCTAGGTCACACCTTAGAGGGCAACCTGTCTGCGGACCTAGAGGCGCTATACCATTCTTTTGTCACAACAGCCTTGAGAGGAGGTACTGTATTGTCCCCATTTATTCTTGGGCAAACCATGACTTGTTAAGATGCCCAGGCAGACACAAGAACTATGTGGTGGAGTCAGAATCTGCACCTGGGGCCATCAGACTTTATAGTGGGACACCATACTGAGGGCTGGTGGGCGGGCTGGTTTCTGGTGTAGGTGTGACTGATGTGGTGGGGGATCCTTGATTCTGACAAGTGAGGTGGCTGATTCAGCTGGAGGCAAAGGCACTGTCTCCCTTGGCTCATGTCCTTGGCTTTAGGACCAGCTAGTTCCTTCTTATTACTGGATCTGTGTCTGGAGAATTTCTCCTAAGTGATGCTGTACTCACAAATGCTTTCTAAACTTCTTCTTCTTCTTTTTTTTTTTTTTTTTTGTGGTAAGATCTCAGTATGTTCAGGCTGGCGTCAAACTCACTATGTGGCTTAGGGTGGCCTTGAACTTGTGGCAATCCTCCTGCCTCAGCCTCCTAACTGCTTGGATTATAAGTGTATGCCACTATTCCTGACTCTTATTTGTGATCCTCGTGGCTCAGCTTCCCAAATGCTGGGATCATAGGTGTGTGTTACCATGCCTATTCAAGATCTTGTCTCAAAATAAAAATAAAAAGGGCTGGGGATGCAGCTTAGTGGTAGAGCGCTTACCTAGATACATTCAAAACCTGCTGATAAGGGTCAGAATATAAAGAAATCACATAGAGAGCAAGTATCCAGGGGAAAGCCATTGCCACCAGCAGGGCCAGGGCAGGAGGCAATTCCAGACACCTGAAGGCAGCTTTCCTGGGAGGGTTGCCTGGTGGGAGGGCCGACAGTGACACTGGTGTTGCACGGAGGGAGGGAGCTGGGGAAATTCATACCCCAACCGCACTCTGTTCCTCTGAGCTGCCCCGCTGACCAACATAACCCAAAGCCAGAGAGCAGGGGAGTCTGCTCATGTTACCGGATGGGCAGCGTCCAGGGCAAAGGAAGCCTGAAGAGGCCAAGAAAAGATCCCTGCACAGCGCTTAAGCTTTCCGGCAGTCAGAATTTACACAGAACTTCACGTCTACATAGTCCCCGTGTGAGGCAGGCCCAGCAGGAGTTTCCCTGTTTTGTAGATGAGAAAACAGGCTCAGCAAGGTGAGCCTTGCCAAGCATACAGAACTCTGCTGGAGATACCAAGTCCAGGGAGGAAGTGGTTCTGCTGGACATGCAGCCCCTTAAGAAGTCCCCAGTCCAGAATCTCGGGGGCCACTGGAGCCTCAGGCGAGGTGACTCTCACTTAGAAGATATCCGTACGAAGCGGGAGAGGCTGTTCCATCTCACTGATGAGGAGCTGGGGCTCCTGGGACAGCGTGGTTGAGTGTGGCACTGCCAAGGTCCCCGAGCTGCCCAGAGTGACCTCCTCCCTTTCCTCCTGCCGCAGGTGCCGGAGAACCTCCTGGGACAGCAAGAAGCTGCTTCCCTCCGCAGGTTCTAGAATAAGAACATGGGGGAGACGGGTGAGGGCCTCCTTCCTCTTGCCCGCTAGAACACAGGAAATGCTGCAAATACCCCCCTGCCCTCCCTGCCCCCTCTTCCTGCCTGCCCCCAGCCAGTGGGACTGCAGTCTTGTGGAATTCTGCAACTGGAAATGCTTTGGATTGCTACTTTTTGTTCTGGTTTTGCTGAGAGTTTTACTGTGTAGTCCAGACTAACCTTGAACTCTCTACATAGCCCACGATGGTCTCAAACTCACCATCCTGCTGGTTCAGCCTCCAGGGTGCTCGTATTACAGGGAAACACCATCGTGCCCAGCTTAAAAGTGGCTTGCTTTATTTGTTTGTTTATTTTTAAGAAAAGGTCTCACTAGGTAGCTCAGGCTGGCCTTAGGCTCACAGTGATTTTCCTGCCTTAGCTCCCCAGATGCTGGAATTAGAGGCATACACCACCATACCCTGCAGAAGTGGCTTTAGTATAACGGAATTTCTACTTCTCACTTTTGGAAATGACTCACAGAAGTGGGCAGACACCTGCCCAAGGTCACACAGTGAGGGAGTGGCAGGCCAAGACTACAGGCCTGGTCCCTTGTGCTCTATATCTCTAGTCAGGGACCCATCCCTTTCCTGCATCTGTAGATGAAAGGAAGGACTCCTATATCCACCTGATTCAGCCAGAGTTTACAGCCAAAGTTCTCAGAAAGCAATCTCGTGTCCAGGCTGGCAGGGACAGGGCAGGACATGATTCTTCTGACCACTTGGGAAAGCCCAGACATGGGCTACCATAAGTCCTGACTCTGGGAGTCCTGGAAGCCCTGATGCCTCAAGCCCTCCAGCCTAAGAATCTCTTACCTTGGTAGACAATGAGGCGACACTTGTTCTGATATTCCGGGACCTCTGCCAGGATGTCTTCCAGTGTCCGGCAGAAGAGTTTGGCCTGCTCAAGCCGATCATCCCGGCTAAAGCCAGCCCTGCTGTCCTGTGACATTGCAAACAAGGTCTGCAAGGGGGTGGCGTACTCCAGAACATAGGCACCCACCTGGGGGAGGTAGAGGAAGACCAGATGAGCCGGCCCAGTGCTGTGGGACAGAGTCACTCTGATAGGTCTGTCCTATCTAGCCTGCCTTTGGCTCTGACATGCCAGGGTAGGGATGGGCTAAGTTTTATCTTTCACAGATCCTGCTCCTAAGATCTCAGGGAAAGAGCCAGAGAATGAGGCCATCAACTGCCCCTGCTGGAAACGCAGTCTCAGGACTGAGCTCTGAGCTTCAGCTATGGTCTGAGTTTCCCTAAACTCTCATGAAATCACTCAGATGTCCTCCCTGCCTTCGGGAAAGGCAGCTTGGCAGCCAGGAGCATGGTGTGTTCCATCTAGAACTGTCTGCTTTCTCAGTTACTCCTTTGTGCTTTGTTGTTCTTTTTTTAAGGTTTTGTTTTGTTTTTCAGTTTTTCGAGATAGGGTCTCAACATGTAGCCCAGGCTGGCCTCAAACTCACAGCCATCCTCCTGCCTCTCCTTCACAAGTGCTGGGGTTACAGGTGTGCACCTGTACCTGACAAATTCGTTTCTTTAAAAAGCAGGGCTCACAACCGCCCCTACCCCATGGAGCAGTGATGAGGATACAGTGGGGTGCTCATACCTGCACCCAGAATAGCATCTGGCGTCCAGTAGGTGCTCAATAAATGTTACTCATTATCACCCAGAACTGAATCTCTCCTATCCTTGGGAAACAAGCTGAGAGATGGGTCATGAATTTTTAGGTTGTTTTCTTTTTTTTTTCTTTTTTGTGGTACCGGGGATTGAACTCACCACCTAGTGCTTGCTAGGCAGGCGCTTATGCCACTGAGCTAAATCCCTGGCCCTTTTTTTTAAAGGAATCAAGGGGCTGGGGATTTAGCTCAATGGCATAAGGGCCTGCCTTGCAAGCAGGCAGTCATGGGTTTGATCCCTGGTACCGATAAAAAGGAAAAAGACAAAAAAAAAAAAAAAGGAATCGAACTTAGGACCTTGCACTTGCCAGGCAGGTGCCATATTACTGAGCTATATCCCCAGTCTCCAAGTCATGAATTTTTAGTCAGTAGCCAGGGCCCAGGGTTTTAAGCCTGATCCCTCTCTCCCTCTCCACAAACTCACCGGCTGCCCATTTTCCAGAAGCTCGTAGACACTGTTTGAATAAACTCGCCCTTTGATGCCAGCACGGTCAGCCTGCTCCTCAGGCAGCGCATGCAGGAAGCGAATGTTGGGGTCCACCCTGCTCAGGTCATCAGGTACCCCACAGTCCAATGGGCAGAGGATGTACAGCCTTTGGCTCCCTGTACCCCGAAATGTGTTGTTTTGGAACTTATTGTAAGCTTGGATCCGAGCCTGGAGCCCTGGGGTTAGGAAATGCAAGAAGTTATCCTGTTAATCCTGTCTCCTAACACTGAGCCGGTGGCCCTGTCAGGATGTGGGTGAAAACAACTGAAGGTTAGCTGGGTGTGGTGGTGGTGGTGCACATCTGCAACCCCAGCACCCAGGAGGCTGAGGCAGGAGGATCGCTACAAGTTCAAAGCCAGCCTGGGCTATATAGTGAGTTCCAGGACAGCCTTGACTAGTTAGTGAAACAATGTCTCAAAAAAACAAAAAACAATAGAAACATTAAAGAGTCTTATTGTTCAGGGGGCTGAGGGAGAGAAGAAGAGTCCCTGGGACCCTTTTTTTCTTCCTACTCCTGATATTTGATTCTCCCTGCTCTTCTGCCAGATTCCTGTGTCAACTTCATTCCTTCCCACTATGATTTTGGAGGCTCTAAGAGAGGGAAAGAGCCTGGGAAATGACATTTCCAGCCCTGCTAGGTGCAGAGAGCCAGGCCTCTAGCTCTACAACAGTTTACTCAGGAAGCCCTAGGACCAAAGGTAGGCAGCACTGAGATTTGGAAGAACCACAGCTGTGGTCTAGAAGCAGAGGAGACACGCATGGGCTGCCCAGTAAAATAGTCAAGATTCCAGGCTCCAGAGAGGCTTGGGTTCAAATCCTCTCTCTTCTCACTGGTCTCAAACTCTCACTGATCCTCCTGTTTTAGCCTCCCCAGTGCAAGAATCACACTTTCTTATTTCTAAAATAGGAGTGATGATCTGTATCTGATGGCACACGCTCCTGTGATTGCAGCACTCAGGAGGCTGAGGCAGGAGGACTGCTGTTAATATAAGGGTGATGCCTGTCCTTTCCTCACAGCCTAGAAGGTAAAAGATAAAAAGCATCTGAGGAGCACGAGGTAAATATTTGTCAAAAGCCTTCCAGGAAGTCCTTGGGCAAGTCACTGACTGGCTTCCAGCCTGGCATTCCTTATGGAAACCAGGTGTAATGATAACACACTTCGTGCTGATGGGGCTGTGTGAAGAATTCAGTGTTTTGGTAGACATGAAGCTGCTTTGCAAAGTAAAGGAGGTGCTGGATACACAGACTGCGTATTTTAGTGCCTGGGACGGAGGTACAGGGGTGGCCCACCTGGCAGGATCAGCTTCAGGTACCCAACGTAATAGGACCATGCCAGCCCGTGGGCCACATTGAAGTTTTGTTTTTCACAGATGGCAGAGATCTCAGCTGGAGCCAGGGGCTGTAGAGAGCAGGACAGGACTGTGGGGCCCCCAGCAGGGCACCAGTCCTCTGAGATGCTTTCCCAGCTTGCTTCGGCCACCTCTCTTCTCCCTTCAGTAAGAGGCTCCACCACCAGGATTCCACCCTTTAAATTAGTCCCACTCCCAGGCCTGGTTCAGCCACAGCACCCACTCAGCCAAAACTTCCCCCACCCTCTGTCCTACCTGGAGGCCCAGAAGGATGGTGACAGCTTTTGAGAGACCCAGCAGTGCAAGTGTCCACCAGAAGGGCTTTCCAGAGTCAGTGGGGAGGGAGCTGGACAAATAGCAGGACAGCAGCAGCACAGCCCCAGAGCGGATGGGGCAGCCCAGGCAGGCCCGCACGGCTTTCCAGGAGCTGCCCGAATACCTGCAGGGGGACGGCTCAGCCTCAACTCAGCCAGAGAAACTCAGGGAAGGGCAGGGCTGGGGAGTTAAGAGGGCGCGGCTTGTTAGGTACCCCAGCCTCCATGGGGCCGGAGGGAGTCACCTGGATTGGATGTGACACAGCTCCTCAGCCAGATAACAGACTTCTTTCAACAGCAGGCCCAGCTGCAGGGAGGCGAGGTACAACACCAGGTACCGGAGAGTGTGGTCCGGCGGCTCCCCCGTGCCCCACAGGATCACCAGACAGACCCCTAGCAGAACCAAAGCTGCCTGCTGGGCCCTGTGACCCCTGGGACGTGGGATGGATGGATGCAGGCTGGAGCACGGCATCTGTGAGCACAAGAACTCTATGGCCACATGCCCAACACTCTGCTGCCCTGCTGGGACTGTGGCCCTGGCAGGCACCTCTCTGAGCTTCCCCTTCCACGGTGCCTACCCGTTCTCACAAGCTGCGCTTGGGGGTGCTTCTCAGGGGTAGCCTAACTGCCCATCCTCCCCTGTCCAGGATGTTTGTTGAAAACAAAGTAGCCCTAACCTCAACAAGCTGCACCACATCACAGTGTGAGACCACAGGTATGGTTCAGAAAGAAGGCAGCAACTATCCCAGACCCAGGCCTGAAAGCGTTCTGTGCTGCCCAACCCACCAGGGGCCCTGAGGGATCTGGCCTGTCTTAAAATGCCGGCCCCCCCAAATTAAATGAAATGCATCCCAGAGAGGATTCCCCAGAGCTCAGGGAGCCAGGGCAAACCCAGCCTCAGGGCTCCCAGTGGGATGGTTCCTGACCCTACCTTCTGCCTCCTGGACAGTTTCTTCTTAGAAGACCACAGGCAGCAAAGGACCAGCTTGTACGATGGCCACTAGAAGCGACTGGAGCCTCTCTGGGTGCCACCTAGAAATGAAACATTAAAACTGAAAACTCTCAGGAACACTCCAGCCCTGGCACTCTGCCAGACCACAGCTGGGAAGAAGGGTATTTCCGGATCCTCAAGAAGGCCGGCTCTGTTCTGAGTCCTGACCAACCAGACCTGGGTCTAGGCTGTATGTAAGGCTGGGAAAAGCTTCATGCCATTGCCAGGGTGTTCAGAGCTGAAGCCATAGCCCTGCATACCAGGGTCCCTTCAGCCTCTAAGTTCCAGCAGGGCAGCACACAGGGCCACAGGCCATGCACAAGGGCTCCTTGCCTATGGATGCAGATAGCCAGATGCAGACTCGCTTCTCTGAATACTAGACGTCGGGAAGGGGTGGAGAAATAGGCACAGATATTTCCTGGAAAAGAGAAAGGGCCTGGGGGAGGAGCTAGCAGAGGACTGGGCCTTTGGCTCTGCGCTCTGGCTCTGCCCACAGAGGAGGCGGTCATCCCCACAACTGTCAGAGTTGTGCACAGGCGGCCTGTGTGGCTGTAACGTCTGTGGAGGGGGCTAAACCATGCCGTGCCAGGCCCGTCTCTACAGGGATAATGCCACAGCATTTCCCTATGAGCGACACACCTGTCTTTTCACCCAGCCCTCCCAGCCACTGTGTCGGGCAACTATAATTCTACCCCCACTTTAGATGTGGGTAATCTGAGGACCAGAGAGGTGCAATAGCTTGCCCCAGTGAGCAAAAGAGAGAGGATTTGAAGCCCAGCTTGTACTGCGCCTTGGTTTCCCGAGTCAGGATGCCAGGTGCCAGTGCCACATCCTATGTCTCCAATGTCCCTAGGTGGAGGGAGCGTCCCTGGCTGCTGTGCTGATTGGAGCACAGGGAGGAGTTCATTCTCACCCAGGTTAGCCTCTTGCTTGGGCCTTTCTCCACATCACAGGCAGCCCCAGGAAGACACATTAGGGCTTCCTGGGAACCCTCCTGTTACTAGAAATAGTTTCCTTAGCACGGAGGGGATTCCCTATGTTTTCTCTTCCCTAAAACTGGCTCACATAAAGGTCTTGATGAATAGATGACAAAATATTAATAATGATTACTCAATAGAAATAAAATTGGGGAAGTTTTTATGCTATCTTTTCCCTTTTTCTCATGAGGATAAATATGTATTATTTGTTTAATGTTTAAAGAATGCAGTAAAGAGCTATGTGTGGTGGCGCACACCTGAAATCCTAACGCTTGGGAGGCTAAGGCAGGAGGATCACTGCAAGGCGGGCTGGGCTACACAGTGAGACCCTGTCCCAGAAACCAAAAATAAATAGATACACCCAAGCATGCATACGTTTATAAAGTCACATTTATAAACTGCTATGATTTGAATGTTTTGTGCCCTTCTGAAACTGATGTTGGAGTTTAATCCTCATTGTGATGCATTAAGAGGGTAGAAATTTTTTTTCTTTTGTCTTTTTGAGACAGTTTTGCTATGCAGTTCAGGCTGGACTTGAGCTTGCTTTGTAGCCCAGACTGGCCTCAAACTCACAACAGTTCTGCCTCAGCCTCCCAAGTGCTAGGGTAAAGGAGTGCACCACCACACCCAGAAATCGGGCAGACATTTAATTTAACTCAGCCATGATGTTTAGGGGTGAGGCCTTTAGGAGGTGATTAGGATTAGACAAGGTCATCAAGTCATTCATGACTGAATCCTGGTGGCTTTATGTTTTTTGGCTGCAGGGTCTCAGTATATGGATGTATACTCACTATGGAGCCCAGACTGGCCTCGTACTTGCAATAATCCTCCTGCCTCAGCCTCCTAAATTCTGGGTTTACAGGTGTAGGTCACCATGACTGTCCTAGTGGCTTTAAAAGCAGGAAAAGGACTGGCGGAGACAGACCTGTGTGCTCCCATGTCTTGCCAGGGATGCCCTGCACCATTTGGGACTCTGCAAGCAAGAAAGCCCTCAACCTTGGACCAGAATCATGACTCCAAACAACCCTCTTTTCTTTATAATTGACCCAGTTGGTGGTACTGTATTATTAGCAATAAAAAACAGACTAAGATATAGGTCCTGGAGGTTAGGACTTCAGTGTATCTCCGTAGGAACACACTCCAATCCCCTACATGTCCGCGGTGCAGGAGGAGGATGGGAAGTGAGCAGGCAGTGGAGGCTGTGGTCAGGGCCCGCAGACCCAGGAAATGTTGCATCAGCTGCTTGTATAAAACTGACTCTGAACTCAGGCAGAAGGGTGGGGCCTTGTAGCCCTTCCAGATTGACCGTCGTCTGAGGAGGAAGCAGAGGGCTGTGGAGAGAAGTTAGGTGCCAGCTTCAGGCTCACAGGGTAGTGGTTGCTTCTCTCCGCCCACCCCAAAGGCTGGTCTAGACAGGCTCTCGGTTTCTATTTCCTGCCCTGTTCTTGCTCCCTTCCCTGAAGCTTGTCAAAAATGTTCTTAAGAAGACTCAGCCCCAGGCTCATTCAGGTGGCCTTTTTTTTTTTTTTAAAGAGAGCCACCACTGTATGTACCATTGTCGCCCTGATTGACATGTTTTGAAATTTTGTTGTAGTTTTTTTTTTTTCCTTCTTTTTATCCTTGAATAAAAATGGATAAAAAATAAATAAAGGGGCTGGGGATTTAGCTCAGCAGCATAAGCACCTGCCTTGCAAGCAGGCAGTCGTGAGTTCGATCCCTGGTACCGATAAAAAAAAAAAAGCAAAAAGACAAATAAATAAATAAATAAAGACACCACTTTGGTTTAGTCTCATCGATTTGAACCTATTTCAAGAAAATTTTGAATTATGTCCAATGCCATTAATGTAATTGTTACAATAAACAAACAAACAAACAAAAGCCAAGGATAGTAACCCATGCCTATAACCCCAGCATTGTAGATGCTGAGGCACGAGGATCATGAGGCTGAGGCTCGCCGAGGCCAGCAGGCCCCAGCCTTTTGGTATCAGCGGCCAGTTTAGTGGAAGACAAATTTGGGGTGCGGGCACAGATTTGGGGCGCGTCAGGCCCAGTACAACTACTATGCACTTTATTTCTATCACTACATTAGAGTCTCACGAGAGCGAAACGCAGACCCTTCACACGCACGGTTCACAGCAGGGTTCACACTCCTGCGAGAGCCTAACGCCACCCTGATCTGGCAGGAAGCAGAACTCAGGCCCTAAGGTAAGCAGTGGGGCAGCGCCAACACAGGCAGAGTTTTGCGCCTAACCCGCGCGCACCTCCTGCTGTGCAGCCTGGTTCCTGACAGCCCACAGCTCCATGCTCTGGGGCCCTGGTCTAGGCTGCATAGTGTGACCTGGCTTATGGGAAAAAAGGGCGAACAGAAGGTTGGGGTGAGGGGTGTACTTCAGTGTGAAAGCCCTGTATTGTTTACACACACACACACACACACACTCGATTAATTCATCAACAATAAAAACTGATCACAGTGGAACCAGGATCCTCCCCTCCTAAATGTGCAACTTTTGCCTGGTTATTCAATTTTGTTGAGCCTCAGTTTTCTCCTGCCTAAAGTAGCGACAGTAGCTAGGTATGATTGGACAGGCCTGTAACCCCAGCTAGTCAGAAGGCTAAAGAAGGCAGGAGAATCACAAGTTCAAGGCCAGTCAGGCAATTTAGTAAGAGACTTTGTCTCAAAAAGGGGGCAGGCGGAGGCATGCATGGTGGCCCACACTTGTAATCTCAGGACTGGGGAGGCTGAAGCAGGAAAATCACTGCAAGTTTAAGGCCAGCCTGGGCTACACAGTGATTTCCAGATAGCCTAGACTGCACAGTGAAACTCTGCCCACCCCCACAAAAAAAAGAAAGAAATTAAGAAAAGGGGGAAAAGGACAGGGCTGGGAGCGTAGCCCAGTGGGGGGAATACTTGCTTAGCATGCACAAGACTCTGAGTTTCACTCCCAGCGCTGCCAATAAAATAAACATGAATCAATAATAACTAAAAAAATGGAGAAAGTCACATTCCTGGACTCACCGCCTGTCACCTTACCTGTATCCTAGGCTCACTGTTACAGACACAAAGCCCTGAGGTTCTGTCCGGGCTGGCTCCAGGCCTGGCCGCCCCTCTGCTGCCTTCCATCGCCCATAACAGTGCTGTCCCTAAACCTCTGCTGGGCGGAGTGATGCCCTAGAGACATGACTGGGCAGGGGCTGGAGGGCTGCACTATGAGGGGTGGTCTTCAGGGCCCAAATCCTCCTGGGAGGAGCAGTCACCAGGTCAGCCCAGGTCAGCTTACTTATTTTGGCACAGTTTTACTGACATGTGTCACACATCACGTGGCTCACTTACTTTACAGTGCACAATTTCATGTTTCCTTTTTTTTTTTCAGTACAAGGGATTGAACAGGACTTTCACGTTTTCACGTGGAGCTATATCCCGAGCCCTTCTTGCTTCCTTCTTTTTTTTTGTCTTTTGTCTTTTTGAGCCAGGGTCTTGCTGTGCAGGCTGGCCTTGGGCTCACTCTGTAGCCTAGGCTGGTCTTGAACTTCCAAATGATCAAATGATTCTTCTGCCTCAGCCTCCTTTCTCTCTCTCTCTCTCTCTCTCTCTCTCTCTCTCTCTCTCTCTCTCTCTCTCTCTCTTTCACATTTTGAGACAGGATGTCCCCAAAATGCTGTGTTACCCACACTTGGTTTGAACTCATGATCACTTGCTTCTTCCTTCTGGAGTGCAGGGTTAGAGGCATTCCCCAACCTTCCTGGGGCCCTCTGTTTCTGAGAGTTCTTCATTCTTGCATTCCTCCAAAGGTAGACTGAAAATATTTATACAAAGTATCATTGTACCAACCATGCACAGACTTTTTCCTGTTATTGTTCCTGAAAAATATAGTGTAACACAGCATTTTCATTCAATTAGAGACTATAAAATCTGGAAATGGCTTAAATTAGTTGAAAGGATTTATGTTAGATTATATGCAAATACTATGTTTTATTTTTGTATTATGAGAGACTGAACTTGGGGTGCTTTACCACTGATGTACATGTCCAACCCTTTTTTTTGGTACTGGGAATTGAACTCATGACTTTGCATTTGCCAGGCAGAGGTTTATCTCCAGCGTTCCAGCCCTTTCTTTTCTTCTTTTCTTTTCTTTACTTTTTTCGCCCTTTTTGAGACACAGTCTCACTGTGCAGTTCAGGCTGGCCTTGAGCTCACTTTGTAGCCCAGGCTGGTCTCAAACTCGCAACGATCCTCCCACCTCAGCCTCCCGAGTGCTGGGATTGCAGGCGTGAGCCACCACACCAAGTGCCCACCACTCTATTTTATTTTATTTATTTATAAATAAACAGGGTCTCACTGTGAAGTTCGGGCTGATCTTGAACACACTACAGAGTCCAGGCTGGCCTCAAACTCACAGCAACCCCCCTCAGACTCCCAAATTCTGGGATTAAAGGTGTTTGCTACCATGCCTGGCTTTATTTTTTGTTTTGAAATAGGGTCTCACTATGTGGTCCACGCTGGCCTTGAGACATTGATCCACCTGCCTCAGCCTCATGAGTAGCTAAGTCATGTCATTTATATAATGGATTTGAGCCTTTGGATTTCGCTAGATTCGTTGACACAAATACCTCATACATATGAAGAGTAAACTCTATGCAAGTGGTACCTTGGTTCATGAACTTAATTTGTTCTATCATTCTAGAAAAGGTAGCCATGTTTGTGTGAGAAAGATGGCCACACTAGTATATGTCACCCAAGGCAGAGTTTACACACAACATTTTGCCAAATGCTTTGGTTTGTAAACAAAAGTGATTTTGACCTAAGGTACCACTGTATACACGTGGTGAGAAAACCCATGTGACAATTTTTTCTTTTGGTACCAGGAATCGAACTCGCGACCTCACATTTTGCGACCTCACACTTTGCAAGCCATGTGCTTGTGTCACTGAGCAATGTCCTGGGCCCCATGTGACAATTCATTTTAGTATGTTTGTATCATCCCAAAAGAAACCCTGTAAATGAAGCACAGGAGAAAACAATGTGATTAAGAGACACTAAACGTGAGGTGTGTGGGCCGCTGCTGGTGTTTCTCAGGGCACTGCTCAAGGCTCAGCACTAGGAAAAATATATGTGCATATATAATTACTCTTTAAAAATCTGCTGTGGGAATATATATATATACACGATAAAATTTTTCCATTTTAACTGATACCCACCCCCTTGCCTGGCCACCTTGTGCTGAGTTTGAGCCCTGGGAGCACCAAGCTGTATCTCCAGCACGCTTTATTTTATTCTGAGACAAGGTCTTGCTAAGTTGCCCAAGATGGCCTTGAACCTGTGATCCTCCTGCTTCAGTCTCTCAAATAGCTGGGGTTGCAGTGTGTGCCACTGTGACCCATGCCTCTGAGAGTGTTTTAGGTGTGTAACTTAGTAGAATAAACATACCTGCAGTGTTGTGGAGTCATCACCGCTGTTTCCGACCATCTTCATCATCCTCAGTACAAACACTGCACCCGTGAAGCGGCGCCTCCCTATCTCCCTTCCCCCCAGCCTCCGGTGCTAGCTAAGCCAACCTCTAGTTTTCAGTGGCTTTCATCATCATGTTTTACACAAAGTGCAATCACACAGTTTGATCTTTTGTGTGACATTTTTCATTTACATGTTTTCAAGTTCATGCACTAATAAATTTTTTAATTTAAAAAAAACTAGGAAAAAGAAGTTCACCTATCAACATATATCACAATTTCATTCCTTTTATAGCTGTATAACATTGTATTATACAATACATGACATACTGGTCAGCTTACCTATTGCTGGAACAAAATACCTCACACCCACAATTGTGCTTCAGTCCAGGTCAGCTGGCTCCAAAGCAGGAACATCAAGATAGGAGGGTGTGATGGAACAACAGTGTTCAACTCATTGTAGCCAGGAAGCAGAGCATGAGGGTTAGGGTGGGGTGTGCCCCAAAGACTGCTCCGCAAAGGCACACCCAAAGGACCCGCCTCTTTCAACTGGCGCACCCCAGCTGCACTTCCTGCTGTGAGCATCTCAGTGGTTCCCCATTGATAACTATCGTGATCTATTGTTTTTTGCAAGAGGTTCCTAACCTAGCCAAACTGGCAAGATTAGCAGGTACCTGGCCATGATACTAGGAATATTCCCTTATAAGCATCTAAGTCCCCTATTTGTGATTCTTTTGGATGTCTCACTGGGAGCACTCTGGTACTTCTCTGTTTGATTTTGAAGA